GTACTCACTGGCCAGCCAGGCTAGCATGAGTGTGCTCCTGAGGAATGACAGTGGAATTTGGCCTCTGGCCTCCATAAATACATAGTAATTAATTAATTACAGAAATGAGATAGAGGGAAGAAACCAGAATTAACTTTTTCATGTGCTAGGTACAGTATCAGGCACTCACAAGTTTTGTTCTTAACCTCCATAATGATGATTTAAAAACAGACTAGGGAGCATATGGACAGAGATTTAATGGTTTTTAAATGTGTTGGCTGTTTGTTCTGCATCTATGGCAAAGATATAGTCCTATGGTTTTTCTTCTAATGCAGTAAAATGGTATTTTACTAATTAAGTGCTCTCATTCCTTTTTAGCTCATTTTTTAAAAATTAAAATTGCTTTTTTATTTCTTTTGCCTCAGAATGTTTCAGACACATGCTGCTACATCAGACACATTTTACGCCTACATTAATCAAAGCACAGAAAAATTATTACTAAAGATGTGAGATTGATAACACTGTCTCTCTAGACATGCAAAGCAAAAGCTACATTGCACAGAAGGTAATATTCAACCCGCACTCCCTACCTATTCCCTTCCCACTTCTCAATGGATTCCTACTGCAGTTTTTACTTGTAAGCCAAAGAAACCATCATTCAGGATAAGAGATGTCTCTCCCTGAAAGCCATGTTTGCTTTCATAGAGCAGTGATGCCTATTTACCATTACAGAATTCATTTACATCAATGCCTATCATTTTTCTTGGTACCTTATTCGTTCTTTACTCAAAATTATTTATTTGGCATTTATTAGTCACAGACAAATTCATGGTGCTTATATAGAGTCTTTCTATGCTTATAGTCTATAGTAGCACTATGGAATGAATCTCTTTCAGTGATGGAAATATTCTATACCTATGCTGTCCATTATGGTAGTTATGAGCTCCTGTGGCAACTGAGCACTGGAAATATGGCTGTTAGAGTTGGAAACATGTGTTTTAAACTTTTAATTATTTTAAATTTATATTTAAACAGCTACATGTTGCTGGTGTCTACCACACCGAACAATCCAGTGTAGCCCTAGGGAATACATGCGTGTGTGATGCATATAAATCTGTGTGTGTGCACATGTGTGTGCACTGAGAAATTAGTGATATACTCTAAATATATGAATGAATAAGAAGAATCAGATTACAAAGGGAAGAGTAAGACAGTGAAAAGGATAAGGTAAAACAGGGTGATGTGATAGACGTTGGAAACCTGCTTTAGAAGGAAGGTGGTTGAACAAAGGTGATTGAAACACTCTCTGAAAGAGCGACCCAAGTCACCGAGATCTTGGTGACAAGAATTCATGCAAAGACGCAGTGATAAGTCACTCAAAGGGAACAGCTTTCGCTGTGCTAATTAGGCTCTAAAGGACCCTAAATTGTGAACAAACATTATGTTCTAATACCAATGACAAGAGAAACAGGGTTACTAAGGGATGGAGAACAAAAAAGAGGCATACACCAATAGATCAGCCACCTAAAGCTATGGCAACAAAACACGTCTGCTGGCTTCAGACAATACGACACTTTGTGGTTTTGAAAGCTGGGGGTCTGAAGATAAAGTGTCAGCAGGGCCCGCTTTACCCGAAGACTCGAGGCTCTTAGACTCTTCGAGCCTCCTAGTCGTGGGCTGCCACACTCCAAGCACTGTTTTCGCTTTCACATGGCCTGCTTTTCTGCATGTCCTCTGTCTCCATGTGGCCTCTCCTCCTTTTTTCCCTGTGGTATCTCTTCTTTGGAATGATGTGACAGTTCTTTACCTGCCGCTCACTGAAAGCGCTCTGGGTGATACCTGAGTTTTAACTCTTCACAGCACTTTTGAGCAAAGCGTTTATCCAGAGGACTTTTATGTACCTTCTGTAGTGGTTTTGTTCTTGGGAGTTCTTTGGGGTTGTTTGTTTTTGTTTCGAGATAGGGTCACATTGTAGCCCAGGCTGGTCTCAAACCCACTATGTGGCTGTTGATAACCAGGAACTTCTGATCCTCCTGCCTCCACCTTCCAAATGCTGAAATTATAGGTGTGTACCATCAAACCCAAAATCCTTTCTCTGTCATTTGATTTAGGATATACCTTAATCTAATAGGCCTAATTATAATTAAATCTGTAAAATCCTGTTTCCAAATAAGGTTACATTTTGAGGTGCTGGTAGACAAGAATTTGGGGGAAAATGAAAACTGAAGTGTAAGACTTTGAAAGCCATAAGTCTCAGTCATCTGCTGATGCTGATGACTGAGACTTATGGCTAACTGTTGGGCAGAGTGCATGGAATCTTATGTAAGAAGTGGGAAATAGTAAGATCTGGAGAGGACAGGAACCCCACAAGGAGAGCAACAGAACCAGAAAATTTGAACACAGGGGTCTTCCCAGAGACTCATACTCCAACCAAGTTCCAGGCATGGAGATAACCTAGAACCCCTGCACAGATGTAGTCTGTGGCAGTTTAGTGTCCAAGTGGGTTACATAGTAATGGGAAGAGGGACTGCCTCTGACATAATCGGATTGGCCTGCTCTTTGATCACCTCCCTCTGAGTGGGGAGCAGCCTTACCAGGCCACAGAAGATGACAATGCAGCCACTCCTGATGTGATCTGATAGACTAAGATCAGAAGGAAGGAGAGGAGGACCTCCCCTATCAGTGGACTTGGGGAGGGGCATGCATGAAGAAAGGGGAGGGAGGGTGGAACTGGGAGGGGAGGAGGGAGGAGCTTATGGGGGATACAAAGTGAATAAAGTGTAATTAATAAAATTAATTTAAATCAAAAAAATAAAAATAAATAAAATCGTTTTTAAGAAATACAAAAAATAAAAAAAAGTCTTTGAAAGCCAGATTGGCTTTTATTTTAGGTGTTACAAGATGCCATTGGTGAGTTGAAAGTTAGGGAATGATTAATATTATTTATACTTTTAACAGCCATTCTAGGCCAGGTTTTGGTGGCACATGTCTTTAATCTCAGCACTCAGGAGGCAGAAGCAGGTAGACCTTTGTGAGTTTGAGGCCAGCCTGGTCTACAAAGTGAGTTCCAGGGCAGCCAGGGCTACAAAGAAATTCTTTCTCAAAAAATTAAAAAAAAAACCCACAAACAAACAAAAAAAAGTGCCATTCTGGATAAAGGGGGACCAAAATAATAACAACAGAAGAAACTGAATTTCAGAGGAGCTATTCAAGTCATAGAGTTTGTAAACGGCAGAGGAGGGATTGGAACCTGGGTACTCTGGCTATAGACCCTTGCCTTTAATCACCGTGCTTCAGTGTTCATTGAAATTTAAAAGGAGAAAGTGAAGAGTGGCTCAGTGATTATAACACTTACTGACCATGCAGTGGATTCAGGCTCAGTTCCCAGCACCCACATGGCGTCTCACAACTGTCTCTAAGTTCAGTTATATAGAACCTGATGCCCTCTTCTGTCCTCCATGGGCTCAAGGCATATACATGGTGCATGAACAGACATTCAGGCAAAACATCCATACACAAAAGTAAAAAAATAAAAATAAAAAAAATTTTTTAAGAAGCCAAGAGATTTGAAGGACAGGGAAAACAGTAATAGTGGCAAAAATTTTGTTCCGTTTGATTTCTGTACTTGAATATAAAAGCACAACCCTCATTATAAATATTTAACAAATGCTTTCAATGTCAGTGTGTATCTTCATCCATTTAAAGAAAGAAAAGAGGGTTTTTTTTCTAAAAGTGCATTATTATAAAGAATATGTTTACTTGTATACTGTCAGGTATGTATTTATGAAAGTTTTTGTAAGCTTTGAGAAAATTAAGACCCATCCAAAGCAGGTGGTGGTGGTGTTGCATGCTTTTAATCCCAGCACTCAGGAGGCAGAAGCAGACAGATCTCAAAAAAAAAATATGTTTTATATGTTTTCCCTAGAAAGTACATGTACCACAAACTTCCCTATGGTATCTGTGTAACCTTGATTGACTTACAGGTTAATTACAGCTTAATGCATCTATACAATGGTAGTTTGTCCTACTTGAGAATAGTATGGATTGTTTAATTTCACCTTCAGATATTAGTAACAAAGCTGTAACAGTAGTTGATGGAGCACATGCTTCGGTTTGAATATCAAAGACCTACCACAGGCTCATGTCTTGACTGCTTCACTCTGAACTGTTTGTATTATTTTGGGAAATCATAAAAACAGGAGGTGGGACTTAGCTGAAAGAAAGATCACGGGGTGTGGGTCCTTGATGGTATCTTGTCTGCCCCCCCATCCCTTCCTCCATCTCTGCTTCCTGTCTGTCATTAGGTGAGTAGTACCTGCCATGTGCCAATACTATAGCAACCTGCCTCACCATTGACCCTGAATCAACAAAGCCAAGGATTATGGACTGAAATCATAAGCCAAAATAAATCTTTCTTCAATTCATTATATCAAGTATTTTGGTCACAGAGATAAAATATCCAACTAATATGGAAAATTGGTATCAGAGACATGAGGTCACTTTTATAACTAACCCTGACCATGGGGGTCTGGGTCAGCAAGTGTTATAACCACTGAGCCACTCTTTATAATGCTGTGATCAGAACTTAATGAACAACTGGCAGATACCCCTATGACAAGAGGCTAAAAAGAAATGCATACAGTTGGGTTCTGGTTCTAAATGAAGATTCTGCGAGAAAATAAAGGCTCCGTTGTGAACTGGACTATAATTCATTATATTAAAATAATTTATATTTTGCCTGTGTCCTGAGACATCCAGCAGAACTTAATTTAAAAACAAGGAACTAATTAATTTGGTGAAGTAAACTTAAAGATGGCATAGGATTAGGGTAATGATATATTTTTTGCTTTCAAAAAATTAATTCCTTTTTTATTAAAACTTTTATACAATATATCATTATCATATTCTTTCCCTGTCTCTTTATCGTGTTCTTTCTCTCTCAAAAACAACAGCAATAAATAAATAAATAAATAAATGAAATTTTATTAAATTGAAAAAAAAAAAAAAGACACCGAAACAACCCTCCCCCTAGCAGTGTCGCAGGTGTGGCTGCTGTGCCACCTGTGTGTCCTCAGGTGGCAGAAAGGAGAGAGGCTGTGTCTATGCTCAGTGTTCTGACCTACGAACGTCTGGGTGATTACTAGCTTCACATTCCCTGAAAAAAGTGAACCCGAGACAACCACCAGTCCTGGTGCCATGCAGGCCCCCAAGGGCTCCCAGGTCTGGAAGCAAGCAGGAGACTAGAAGAATCCCACCCGGGATTGAGGGCCCCCCAGGTAGGAGTCAGCCCAAGACAGAAGACCCTTGCATGGGGCCACTTCGGTGGACCAAACACGAACCAAGACTGAGATGATCACCAGACTGGCACCATGAGGCCTGGATAAGGGGCACTGAGCAGAGCGAACCAAGACTGACATGATCGCCAGACTGGTGCCATGAGACCTGGACAAGGGGCACTGAGCAGGCCTGAGCGGGCAGATCATGCCCGAGATGACCCCTACCCAATGCCATAATGCACAAGTGGGGCACAGCACTACTGAGGGCTCCACAACTCACCTGGGCATCGTGGGAGAGCTGGCTCTGGAGGCAGAACAGCAGAGCTGACCCCACCCCAAGCCAGCTGTACATTGTGGGAGTTGAGTGTGAGCTGGCTCCCAAGGATGCCCTACAGTGGCATGGACAAAGAAGAGATGCCCTCATGCCCCCCTACCTGTCACCACCTGTGGCAGGCAGGAGATCCGGCCCTGGGGTCACGAGAACTGGACAGCTGTCCCTGCTCTTCACCGGCTACAGCACTCAGGAGACTGAGCCCCGCACCCTACCTAGGCAGCACGGTAGAGCTGGCTCTGGAGATGTGGGATTCGAAGGTGAGCTGGCTCCAAAGCCATTACTGTGGAAGCCAGCCCTGCCTCTTGTCTGCTGGTCTGCTGGGTGGTGGTATAGAAAAGGGAGAGATGCTCTCCTCCTCTCCCTTGTCCCTTGCCATTTTTGGCAGGCAGGAGAGCTGGCTCCAGGGTCATGAGAGTGGGAGAACTGACCATGTCCTTCTCCATCTACAACACTCAGGAGGGCGGGCCCCATACCTCACCTCTACAGCGGGGAAGAGCTGGCTGGTTGCAGGGGTTGCTGATAAGCCAGCCTCAAGGCAGAGCAGGTGAGCTGGCAGGCTGACCATCTCAGATACCTCTCAGGCCCAGTTCTAGGGCTTTGAATTGGCCCAGCCAACATCTAGCCCATTGACAAACTGCTGGAGTGCATGAAGGGACCAGTCCGACAGATCCAAAACTGTAGGATCTCCATGACATAGGGCAACAACAGGATATTCAAAAGGAACACCAGTGAGGTTCTAGTATCAACAGAGCAGCAGGAGCCAGAAGCCTCATGCCAGACCAAGGAGTCATTACAATGAACATTTACAAGCAAAAAAGTGGGGACAAAAGGGTACATTGTGGGACACTCCGTGACCCACTACAGATTCCACAATGAGATTTTTTTTTTTCTGTGTTGATGGGGAGTTTGCAAGGGTAGAGAGCAGGTACAAGGAGAGAGGGAGATGAGTGGGGCTGGAATGTGTGATGTGAAATTCTCAAAGAACTATTAAAAAAGTAAAAACAACAACAAAGACAAGACAAAAAGCACACCAAAAAAAACCTCCTGGAGTCTGTTTTGTGTTGGCAAACTATTTCTGGGTGTGGGGACTGCCCTGGAACGTGCTTGATATACCTAGTGACGCTCCATTAGAGGAAACTGATTTCCTCTTCCCCGGAAGGCATCAATCATAAACAGCTTCTTGATTAAGAGTGGGGCTTTGTTTCCACCTCCCTTTTTCAGTGCTGGGATTTTGTCTGGTTTGAACCTGTGCAGGTCCTGCGTGTGCTGCCGCGGCCTCTCTGAGTTCGTACGTGCATAAGTTATTTGGTGCCTGCAAGATGGTTTTTCCTTGGCGCCATCTATCACCTCTGGGTCTTACAATCTTCTTGCTTCCTTTTCTGGACAGATACTTAACCTTAAGAGGCAAGGTTTGATGAAAGCATCCCATTGAGGACCGAGTGCTCCAAAATGTCTTACTTTCTGTAGGTTACCCAGATGTGGATCTTTGTTCATTATCATCTATTGCAAGAAGAAACTTCAACAATGAGGCTGAGCAAGCCTCTGACCTGTGAATATAGGAATAGGTCATTAGGGAGACATTTTATTGGTGTGTTCCTTTAGGAGAGTAATTATGGCTACTTTTAGTCACGTTTATAGTGAGAATGGTGGAAGGGGTAAAAAGAGCAGAAAGATTTGAAAACTGAACACTGTAACCAGATAATGAATGAGCTGAAAGTTACAGGCCAAGAGGTTAGGGTTAGTCCATTAAAGAAACTAGTGCCATTTAAAAAAAAAAGTATTTTACACTGGGACAATAGAAAAGTTGACATTAGATCACCTCATGAACTGTCCAGACCCAACTCATTGGGGGACCAAAAGTGTAAAGGTTTTAATTTGTTTGAAGGACTGTACTTTTAAAAGACAGTTTCAGGTGGCCCTAAACACACAGTACCACCTAAGGAAGTGTTTTCTGAAGTTCAGTCACCAGATATTAAGAGACCACTACAGCTGTAGCCTGGGGTTGGTGAATGCTGGCTACTGTTCAAGCTAGTGACAGACCTTGACCTCTCTATATAGTGTTGATTTTTCAGGCAGGCATGCAGGATGCAAGAGTGTCAGGGTCATGAAGACTATTCAAAGATTTTAAAGAAAGGTAAGAATGAAGTCTAAGTTATAAGGGGCAGGGGGTAGTATGTTGGAGATGCCAGTACCAGGAATGTCTGTTGAAAGGTAGCAGAGCTAGCCCTGAAAAGATGCCACACAGGCTTCAAATAGCAAAACCATGGGGTGGAGCAGTTTAAAAGTATTGAGGCACACATCATGCCAACACATGCCTTAGCTGCTGGACACGGTGCTGGAGAAGTAGCTGAGAGTTCTACCACCAGATCCTCAGGCAGCAGGAAGAGAGAGAGAGACACTGGGCCTGGCTTGGGCTTCTGAAACCTCAAAGCCCACCCCAAGTGACATACTTCATCAAACAAGGCCACACCTCCTAGTCCTTTCAAATAGTCACTCCCTAAGCAGTCAAATATATGAGTGTATAAAGACTATCACAATATATATGTAAATATAAGCACAGGCTATGTCTACATCATCCACTTGACCCTTGAGTATGACTTGGGATGGCCATATTAGAAGGTGTCCTGTAGTCTCAGCTTCCATCCTCCCCTGTTAAGGCTGAGAAAGGATGTGAGAACACTGCTAACAAGTGAGAAGAGCAGTGTGGTGGCTAAAACTTGGGTCTCAACCTGACTGGACCTGTAATCAACTAAAAGGCAATTCCCTTGACCTCATACTCACTGGCAAGCTCATTGAGCACTACTGTATTTCTTCACCAATACCAGGACAGGCTTCTCTGGTCTTCCAATGTGGGCTGAAGGCCAGCAGCTTCCAAGAAAACTCCAGCCCACAGTAGCAGATTAGGACTGCCAAGACATTCAGCCTCTTGGACTGAGGAGCTTGCATATTCTTGGTCTGTTGGGTGTGAGTCAGCTGTGGTTGGCCTAGCCGGACTATATCCTGTAAGTCAATCTAATGAATCCCCCTTTTAATTCCACTCATTCTGTCAGTTCTCTTCCTCTGGAAAACCCTAAGACAAGTTCCAGCAGTCTACAATTCTATGATTCTGGCTTTCCCTTATATGTACCTTTGAAGGTTTTCTCTTTCCCCTGCTCCTGAGGTCTCTCTTAGGTCAGTATCACAAGCAGCTAAAGATGAGACTGATCACAGCAGCTGAGTCTTATTTCCTGTGTTGGATTTTGTCCATGGTCACTGATACAGCTTTTGGACTATTCAAGTGATTACAGTCATTTAGGTATTTAAAATTATTCAAGTAGTGAGTGATCAATTAATTTCCCTGCCTCTTATCATTATTGGAAATATTTTAAACAAATTATAGATCCATTTTATTACTGAATTTTTTAAGCACAGTAATTGGAAGTGCTTGTTTCAATGTCAGAAATGGAAGAGACTGCTGTGTGTGAAGGTAATCAATATTTAAGGCCATTAAGTCTTCTTACAATATATTCAGATGGTCATTGCACAGCCTCTGGTAGGAGATTTGTGATTGATCATAAAAGCCAGTGGTAAATGTGTCAACTTCATCTGTTTTAATGAAGGTGCTATAATATTTGTTCAGATTTCTGAGATCACTTTTTGTTCTCTGGAATTTAAAAGCCAAGAAGAGCCCTTTAATGAACACTAATGCACATTTTCTCCAAGTTTCCATCACTTGAGCACTAGAATCTATAAACTAAGACTCTATCAGATAAGATCAAATCTTATGAAGCCACCAACTTTAACATATAAAAATTAGTAATTTCATATGAGTCATTACGGTAGGGAAATGGAAATATGTGAATTCTTTTTTAATAATTTTTTTAAACCTAGATATGTCTGTTACATGCCTCAGCTGGCCTAATTTTCATCTGCTATTTACCAAGAGTTTTATATCACACTAGTTTAATCCCCTTATGCTCTAAGATTATGCTTTGTGATTTGCCATAGGAAAAAAACAGGTCAAACAGATAACTAGAAAAAAGCTCGGAGTGGAAATAATCTTACCTTCCATTCAAAAATAGTTCTTGGCTACAGACCTATATCATATATTATGTTAAGTGCAGAAAAGATGCCAGTGAACAATTGAAATTATGTCCTGGATTTTCACTTAGTTCAATGTAAATATTCTCATTAGTATGTTTCTTTTAGGTGTTAGGAAACATTTAGGTCCCTGTTACTTACGATATTGTGTCCAGTTATGACACCCAAGCCATTACTGTTCCAATTTATAAGTTTATGTTCTTCTTCCTGTATCCCACATATCAGTTAGTAAAGTAACTGATTTCCTTTAGCCATTTTGGTTGTATACTTATTATCAGGGAAACTATTAAGTATATGTGCACTTAGCATTGTAGATGATTGGGACTGTCTAAGGGTGCCCCAAAAGTTCAAAACATAGAAAGCCAAATACAGATCAGCACTTCCTTTAGGAAACTGGCAGCCATAGCATAGCAGCAAGTTCCAGATGAGTATTTCCCAACATGTTTGATCCTGAAATACACTA